TGTGCTTTTCTTACTGTGACATGTCAAAGTCACTTCCGTATTACCAGTGATGGAGGAAGTGTTGAGCTCTGTTTCACAAATTTCCTGTAGGAAACATCAGGCTCCACTGTGTTCACCTTCTAGGCGCTAACGTTGTCTTTCATGGCAGGTTAGTGTGCAGTCTGTTTATCTGAGGGTTTTGTGGGGGGGGTGGGGGGGGGGGTTGGTGAAAACGGCTTCGGCTGCAGCTGGAAGGTAAGGTACATGAAAGTTGCAGGCCATAAACCAGATGTGATTCATCAGTTATATCATTATATACAATATATTGGATGAGAATGATTACTAACGCAGAAACATCTCAGCAGTATTTTAATGTTACAGAAGGAGCTAAAATGTACTTCTGGTACTTCCCCAGATTAGTGTATACTCCAGTGTTTTGATAGATATTCCTGTTTTGTCAACGGAGATCTGTGGCTTTGAAAAGAGCAATGTAGCGGCTTCAGTTCCCCGTTGGAAAGGGCTGCCTGACCGCCACCTATGCTTGCAACAAAACTATCATTTTGCAACAAAACTATCATTTTACCTCGCAGAACCAAACTAACGAGGCGTCCACAGCAGTACATTGCTTAGCTTCTGTGTGGTACTCCTGTCTGCCTCTCTGAACTGGGAGAAGACCGCCATCTAAGTTACTAATACACTGCCTATAAGGATATAAGTGTACTGTATATGTAGCAGCATCATCATGCAGGAACCTACGTCAGGTCATGTGAGAAAAAACTAAAAAGAAAACGCAATTATATATCAGACCTTTTAAGTAAAGTACCTCAAGACTGTACTTAAGTACTTACTTAATACTACATAGTTATTTTCCACCCCTGGTCATGTGTGTGTCAAAGTGCGGTGATACGATACATACAGCGTTATGATTCACATGGCTTTCATTAATGCTGTGATTGCATGCAGCGCATATGTTTCCATTTTAGTATGCATGATATACTGCATTCACTCCCTCACAGCACAAGACACACTTTGCGTTTGTGTGTGTAACTGTATCTCCAGCCACATTGTCGGGACTTCAGACTGCAGCATTTAATCTGGGACAGGGCAACTAAATCTTCCCCCTCTTTGCTAAAATTGTCCGTTCCCTGTAATCAAGGTTTGGTGAATGGCATGACCATCATCTTCATCATCTTCTCCCTGCTCCCACCACAGAAGTAGTTACAGGCTGAGGGACTGATGGCAGGACACAGGCTGAGGGCTTGTTTAACCCTACACTGCACAGACCACAGCATGACACTTTGGATATCTGTTGTATTTCCACTGAAAAGGTTGACTTGTGGCTTTGTGCTCTAAGCAAAGAGATGGTTTTCAAACATTACAGAAAGCTGTTTTTGCCAGCCTGTTTGTTTCCTTTCCTCTTTTTGCTGCTTTGTGGTCTTTTGAATTGAAGAGTTTGGGTTTTGTGAGAATGCGCTTTATGTCCGAATCCATGATGGTCAATATGTAAGGCTGATACAGTCCAAGCATGTGTACAGATAAGAGTATCCCATGAGCTCTTACCTCTGTCACTTCATCTCCCCACATGAGCCACACCAAGAAACAGGATGTTGCCTGCCCCACCTCCATTGTGTTGTCCTTATAAAACCGGTTTTGGCACAGTTTGGGACACCTATCGATATTCTGCCAGGGAACAATAGCCCTAAACATGTTGTGATACCAAAGGTTGTAACCTTCGGCATGTATAAGATAAACTTTCCCTTCCTTCACAGCGTCTGACTAATGCTGGGCGAAAAAGCCCTTTCACAGCGGTGGGAGATGAAGGAGAGAGGCTGTTGTTGTCCGAATAGGCTATTGCGAGCGACTTCCTTAGGTTTACCAATGGCACAGAGAAAACTCTGCCAATTCAGTGTGTGTGTGTGTGTGTGTGTGTGTGTGTGTGTGTGTGTCTCTCGGTATGGGTGAGCAGTCAAAGCCACATGCAGGTCGTGTCAAGCCAGATTTCCTTAGTTCTTTGCCCTTTGACTGAATTTGTGGCAGAGTGCGTGTGTTGAACTTAAAAGCAGGAGGTTGTGTTTAATAGCACTATCTTTCCTGCACGCTTCTGTGGGTTTGATTCAAATGTGTTTGTATGCATGCTGTGTCACTCATGGTCCTCTTATGAGTTGCAGTTGTGAGATGAATGCTCGGGAGGATTTGAAACTAATTTTAGCCACAGGGTCAGGATGTCGGTTGGCCCACCACTTTGGTCCAAACTGAAATGTTTCAACAACAACTAGCCCAATGGATGGAGTCAGTTTTATGCTGACATTCATGGTGCCAAGGATGAGTCCTTGCAACTTTGGCGCTCCCCTGACTTTTTCATTTTATCTTCTAGCACCCTTTCAATTTGTCCAATACTTAATGACCAAATACCTGCAATGCTACAGTAACAGCATCAGCTGCTACTTTGTGTTTAGTGCTAATTAGCAATTGTTACCATCCACAATCTGGAATAAAAAAAAAGTCATATTCCGGTTGCTTAGGCAGGTCCCTTTAGTCATGTGCAGTGTAACTGAAGAAGGCACTGCTTTTAAAATGACCTGATTGCTTTGTGCCACTATTCTCACAAGCAATTTGCAAGATGTATAACATTTGTCTCTGCTGTGCAAATACACAAGACCGAGCTTGTGGGACTTCAACAGCAGTGTTTAGCGATGTTTTTCCTTTTGCGTGAGCTGTATTTGTGCAATTTATCCTGCAACAAAGTCCTCATTGAAAGCGGTTGACATAGACAGACGGCGTAAGGCTGGCTGGCAGTGGGTGCAGTGATCCGGCAGGTTGCTGGCTTACTTCTGCAGCCAGCGGACCAATCGTCAGCAAATCAGTGATCAACCCTTCTGAGTTGAGAGTGGATCTAAAAGCGTACAAGGTACATTTATAAATCAGTGGCCTTCAAGGTCACCTGGAGGAGCAGACTTCTTCTGTTCATGACTGTGGCTAAACTCCAATCCCAGTGGGCATTGACTCCTTTACCCAGTTGAAAAAAATAAGAGTATTAATCATATTTCACCTGTTTTAAAGCCACTTTAAAAGCAGATACTGATTTGTACTAACAAAATGTGGAGACACACTGACCTGTCAAACTGATGACAACAATTTCCTTTACCTTTTCCTTTTTATTTCAATTATAAGATAACACTTTCATATTTTGTGAGATGTTTATGTTTCCCTGGCTCCTTTTGCAACATAATATTTAAAAAATACAGTCTGCAATACTATAAATAATGTAAATAAACCTGCTTTATAATTAGTTTTTTTTTCATTTCTCATGTGTAATCTAAAGCTCAGCACTTTCATTTTACAGTAACCTGTAAAAAAAGGGCAAAACACAAGCATCACTTGTGCTACCGTATAATTTTAGGTACTAAGAACAGGGTGTGCATGAATCTCATACAGTAGGAAGACTGTAGTGCCATGCAGCTTCCAACTACAACGATAGTCTTCCTTCTAAACAGAACATTTTAACACATAATCTAAAAAAACACTCTTTAAATCAAACCTGGTGGACTTATTGTCCAGGTAAAATGTCGTAAGAATGGGAGCTGAAATAATACATTCACTGTTTTTAACTGCAATTCCGCATCTTTCCAACTTTCCAATACTTGCCTCAGCACTGACAGGTTCAGTATTCCTGTGCATCTTCTCCTTTTGTGGCACACCTCAAGTTGGCACTCAGTGCGGGGGAGGGATTTTATAAGAAATAAGCATACAATATATGCATATAATCCTGTGTGTGGGAGGGACACTGCAGGCGTGTTGCCACCTTTCCTCCTACAGAGATGCAGAGAAATGGTGCAAGACTGACATCCACTTTGTAATGTGCTGCACATGGCGCTTGTTTGCCACCGGCATTATCTCGAGGCATGCGTCCAGAGATTAGTCATCCGGTCGCTCTGTTTACCTTTACTGTTTACAGGAACGCTGAGCACCTGCTCTTGAGCATAATACCACTCAGGATGTTTGCCTGCCGCTTGTTTATCTGTGTTTGTGCATTCGGGGGGGGGTAAAATGGTTCAAAGGCAAAGGAACACTGGGAGACTTGTGCAGGGGGAAAGCTAAAAGTAACAGTGAAAGAAGCACATGAAGTGACAGTAAAAACAAAAAAGCCTCATGTTTAAATACGCCTGGGCACACGGGGGTGACGTGTGTTTCCTGTTGAACTGAAGCAGATGAAGTTTTTTACAAAGGCGTTTGTTTGGGTGTTGTGGTCAGTGAGCAGGATGTTGTGACCCTCTGGGAGCCCACGTGCTGAGGTCAGTGGGGAACGGCCGGTTTGGGCTCACGGCGCTGTTGGGTCTCCACCTTGTGGCTTGGACCCCATCTTGCAGTGCTGAACGGCTGCTCGAGCAAACAAGCGCACACCCACCCGGAGCCAAAAGTAAAATGGGGTCAGTAAAATGGGCTAAACAAAAACTCCCCCAAAGCCTACATTTAAGCCTAGATTTGTAAACATTTTTGCCAGTTGGCATTATACAGAATTAGCTATTTTCAGTTCCTGTTTAAAATGTACAAATGGATGCACACACTGCTATCACTGGATTACTTTGATTCTGAAGACAACTTAAAAATGTTACTAGTCTCAGGCAACTTCTGAAGTGACGAGGAGCGTCTTTATACGCTCAAACAGGCTCACTGAGCAAAGCAGTTGAAAACCGGAGGAGTAGGCGTCCTGTGTGGAGAGTTATAAGCTCCGGGGTCACAGGGTCAGGACTGAAACCTGACATCACAGCTCGAGTATGCAGAGCTTAAAACACATGTCGGCAAAGCCCCGGCAATAGTCGGGTAATTTATGGGTGTTAGAGTGGACTTAACCTCCGTGTGTCTTCAATAAAAATTAAAAAAACAGGAGAGATATGGAGTGACTCTCGCCACTTCTCATGTCATCTCTGATTAACTGTGAGCCTGGAACCTCTCCAGAAAAACAGGGTCCAAAGTAATTTACTGGAATGAAGACCTACACGTGTGGAAGACTTATAATAAATATGAGCAGAATCCCAGCAGTTTTCTTTTGAGAGATGACGGCTCTAAATAAGATCTGTAGACAGTGTGCCCGCTTTGAAGTAAATCAGGGTGTTTGCATATGCGTGTAGCCTATAGGTGAAGCTTCTGGTTAAGCTATTTTAGAACATGTCATTTCAAGTCTTGCTCTGCAGGGTTTCAGCCTCTTAATGACATGGTTCAAGACTGTGTGAGCCACATGAGCATGACTGAGAAGTAGAAGTAGAAGAAGAAGAAGAGAGAGAAAAAAACTGTCCAACCCCTCTGAAGATTTCCTGTTTCATGAAAGTGCACATACTGTGTGAGTCATATAGGGCAAGTCCTGCCTGGTGTGTTTACTCTGCTGCTTCTACCCGGAGCCGTGGAGGCGTTTTTTTTAATTTTTTTGGAGTGGGTGAAGCAACAGGCGGACCGAAGAGAGTCCGCGAACTCTGGATATTAACCCGGTGTCAAAGGCTTCGGTTAATTCATGAGAAGGAGGGGAGTGTACAGTCTGTCTCTCAATGGAGCTACTAAGGTTTTCCGCTTTTTGGTGTGGAGCGATACTCTTCGGTAGTATTCAGCTCGAGGAGGCGGGTGAGTTGAACTTTTTACGTGGAGAGAAGTTGTCAAAGGAGCGGCTGCGTTGAGTCACAGCTGCAGGGTGATTAGTGGAGCGCCAATGACGCGTCAGCGAGCGCTGTTAAGCGCTTTAACTTGGGATTATATGATAAACTATACTCACTGTTCTTTGCACGGGTGTTTTTAACGGGCCTGTGGTACACTTTACTTTACAAGTAGTCCAATTAATTTAATTAAAAACGACAAACTGCCAAAGTGCGCAAGTTATCGAGGCTCGAGTGCCTCATTCATTCAACAAGCCTTTTTTTCGTTCTTGCGAGCACGTTTGCTCTTCCTGTAAATACACTTCTGTTTACACCGCTAACCTTTAGTGTGTTAGCCTAGCTGTTCACTGTGGATGCTACATTATTTGAGGGCATCACCTGTCGTAAGTCGCAGCCTTTAAATCCTGGGATGTGTTATCTCCATCCTTTTATGTGCACATTGCTGACAGCAGGTCCAGCAGCCCCCCCTGAGGAAGACAGCGTTTTACCTTCATCTGTCTCAGACTCAGTCCCGGTGGCACCAAGTGGCTTTGGCTGCTCCTTAATCCTCTTTTTCCCCCCTCTCTGCAATTACATGTAGCCCTGGGTGACAATTACTAGCATTCATCCCTTCCATTGCCCCCCCTTGGGTTTAAATGACATGCTCTTTCAGAGGAGTTGCTCTAATGATATAATTACTCGGCTCAACCACCTTCCCACCACCAGCACTCAAGCATGGTCTATCCCCTCTGTGCTGACTTACTTCAAAACAACCCGGCAAACCCGCCAGGCAGAGTTTCACATCAGTCCAGACGTTTAGTCTGGAGTTCAAGTGTAATATTTAGATGTTTTTATTTGTGTGGGAGTCTCCCGGTGAAGACGAGGCCAGAAAAGCAATACCCGTCTGCAATATCCTGCTAGGATTCCTGTGAAAGTATCTCAGTCCGGCACAGGAACGGGACGCCGTCGACTGCTCTAGATTCGCTGCTCTTCCGCGCTGCAGGTTGTACAGTGGTTCTGCTGCAGGTCTAAACCCACCCTGCAGATTTGGGGCGAAATGATACAGTAGGCTTTTTGTGCGAGGGCTTTTCGCACCCGAGAAGGTGTGAAGTCGGAGGCGGAACGGATGCTGGGCAGACTCCTTCGCTGTCTGCTTTCACTTACACTTCCCAGTTGAAGAACGTCTCACGTTGTGGTCACGTGATCAAAGTCTTGTCAGGGCCATCTTTACACAACTGGCTACATGTTTCAGATGCATCGTGCATGTTTGTTTACGATGCTTCATCCTAGGGGGTGATCTTTAAACTACAGGAGGTAGATGTTAACCTACTTTCTGTCTCGGTTTGGTCACGAGCTGCGCATCAATGAACAGGTTCAACTTCCTGTGCACTTGGGCTCAGCGTACAGCCGACGTGTGGCTATGTGGTTTTGCTATATAGGCCCTGTCACATGTTTCTCCTCTTCCTGTTTTTTTGCTATTGGGCTGATTTGATTTCTGTTTCTTTCAGAACCCTTAAGATCTGAAAGGAGTACAGTCTTTGTCTTTCACTCTCTCCCACTCTGTTTACTCGATAGACTCTCAGAGAGCGGCCTAACTTCATCGTACCACTTGAGTCCACATTGTGTGCACTTGTACAAACGCCCCACAAAATCCTCCCGTGAGACACATTTTTTCCTGATGATGCTTCAACAGTCACTGGTGCTAGATTGATCCTGGGAAAATTGGAATATCCTCTTTTAGGATCATTTCCAACTCTTGAAGCCACAAGATCCACTTTCCACTCGCAAGTTTATGTGGCTGAGAGGACTCCCTCGAGTAAAAGGAAATAAATCGGAGAAGTCGGGAGATATTGTCCATCTTTCCCGCTGCTCTGTCTCTCCTTTCTGTGCCAAACAGCGGTATGCTGCCTGACAGATTTTTATCATTAAAAGCCTCTCAATGAAAGGACTGTGGTCAGAGAGTTTCTCTACTAATACAAACACTCGCCAACACGTACACACCCATCTCTGTCTCTCTCCAAACACAAAGAGATAGCAATACATACGCGCCCCCCCCTGTCTTTTTGATCTTCTTGAACACCTCTGTAGATGGGGCGCCGACTCATCGGTGGGACAAATTAGAGACTCCTCAGTGAGGAGATGCATCCGTGTTTCCTTTTGTTTGTTGTTCTTGCCTGTCTGGCAGTTGTCTCCTTAGATGATTATCAAACCCACAGGCACTCATCACACAATCCTGTCTGTCTCACTGATACGGGTCTGCCTGCCGGCAAAGTCAAGTCTGAACAAGACCAAAGGAGGTGGATGCCACCGCGCGCTGCGCTTATTGTTCCGACTTCACAGGAAGAAATATCTAGCCACCCCGAGGATGAAATAGTTGGGATTTTCCAGTGGTGTGGTTGAATATCTGCATCTACTTATCATCAAATTCCAAAAGACTCCCACCCTTTAATTAGATTTGAACATTTTCATGCTGATAAGTATGAACTGTAAGACTGTTTTGCATTTCTGAGTGGTCTGTTTGTCCTTTTTAATGCCACATGCTGCCTAGTCAACCCAATACCATATAAGAAAATGAGCTTGTCTGTCCACTGAACCTTTTTTGTGTACCCAACTCACCATCTGCCCTGTCTCACTTCTCCTCTTTTTATTTTTTTTAACAGAAGCCAATATAATGAGGTCACGAAGGCTGTGTAAGTTCTGTGATGAGCAGCTCACCAGCTGCACAGGTAAAGGGAGCTGCAAGGCGGACTGTGACATCACGTCCATCTGCCCCAGAGACGAAGATGTGTGTGTCACTGTCTGGTAAGTGGGCACTCATCTAAACTCACGTTTCTCTATGAATCAAAGCCAGGGTTACGAAAATGGTTTTAGTTGAGTCTAGTTAAAGCGAAAAGAGCATTTAACATAATTCACCTCTTGGGTCACAGTACGGGTACAAACAAAGACGTGAGGAAATGAGGGCACAATGGATGCTCTTTTTATAATCAAATCGTCCTCCTTCATTTCCTCCCAGGAGCCCTAAAACGTCTTTCTTTATTTGACGTTTTCCTTTGAACACTTTGTCAGTCAGCGTTCTGGTGAAGGCCGTCGGCCGGATCACAACAGCACACGAGCATCTAAACATCCAGCATCCAGCAGCGAATCTGCCTCTGAGAAGCAGCAGGAGGCCGATTTGTGCCCGTGTTAAAAGCTGAAACCCGCGCCGCTGTTTCTCATTATGTTGCCGATGTTGTTGGACGTTCTCTGAGCTGAGGTCAGCAGAAAGCTAATAGCACATGGACAGCAGCACCTCTTTGAAACACTCTGCACTGCCAATGCTGCCCAGCAGGGAAGCAACACTTAGATGTGTGTATTTATGCATGTTCAGGGTTTTTCTTTGTTTCGTGTTTGTAATGGTATTTGAAGAATCTCGCTGTTCGCGAATGTGACCCCCTGTATTGCAGTAATTTACATAATGCTGAGACCGTGGACTGCTGCAAGAGACAAACATCCCATTTACAGTCCCCACTCTATCACTGTACTGCTTAGAAATCGCAATATTTGCACAACTGCAGACCTGCCATCATTGCCTTGTTACACGATAATACAGATATCTGAAAAGGGGACTTCATTGCCAAAGCCAGTCCAGTAAATGGCAGTATTTTCTTTGTGCTTTTTCTCTTTCCAAGGAGAAGGAAAGATGATGACAATGTCACCGTTGATACAGTCTGCCACAGCCGATCTCAGAAGCTGTATGGCCTGGTCCTGGAGGATTACAACAACAGCAAGTGTGAGATGAAAGAACGAAAGGGCATGGGCTCACAGTTCTTCATCTGCTCCTGCTCTGAGGATGAGTGCAACGAGCACATCTTCTTCAACTCCTGTAAGTTAAGACACAATTATTTTGTCCACTAATCCTTTGTTTTTAACCACTCTTGAGCCGAGTGAGTTTCTTACACCAATGTATTTTCTTTTTCGATTGAGCCTTTAAGATAACATGATTGTGATCCGGTAAGATCCATCGTGCAGTGGACATGCCACATTAAAGGGGACATATCATGCTTATTTTCAGCTTCATACTTGTATTTTGAGTTTCTACTAGAACATGTTTTCATGCTTTTGATGTTAAAAAAAAACACAATTTTCTCATACTGTCTGTTTGAATACACCTGTAATTACTCTCCGTCTGAAACGCTCCGTTTTAGCGCCCGTCTCTTTAAGCCCTCCCTCTAGAAAAGTCTAGTCTGCTCTGATTGGCTTGCGAGAAAAATATGGCGCACCTTTGCCAAGGTAGTTTTCAAGCCTTCCTGAAATTAAATGAATACTTGAACCCATTAAATATGGCGCTACAGCAACTTAGCATAAAGACTTTAGCATAAATACTTTAGCATGTGACGCTAGCTTAGCTAAGCCAAATAGCTGCTGGCTGGCCTTGCACTGAACAGTTTCTCATCCAACACAAAGCAAATGAGTGTATTTCCCACAATTGTGACTCATACTCCTGGAAGTAGTACAAAGTTGCATCAGTTCCTTATTGTGTCCATCTCTTTCGCATTCCTCAACAGTGAAGCAATAGTCCAGTAACACTGTTTTATGTATGCAAAGATGGGACTCTTTGGTTCCTACATCTGTGCAGCATAACATGGTAACGTCATAGTCCTGGCGGGCCTAATGTTATAATGCCAGTTTCTCTCAGCTTGTCATGTAAGGCGTCATGCATGAATGCAAACACGTGTGCACTGTAGTGCTCTCCAGATACATGATTACAAACAGGTTTGGGAGACTTTAGCTTGTAGACTCCAGTTACAGCGCTGGCCCCGGAATCAGATGTATTTTGACTACAGCATCCAGGCAATAACAACACGGAGGTACACTTCTGAGACCTGGCTGTGCACAGAGACACAAATTGAAAGCATCTGCCCAGTCCAAACCACGTAATGGAAATCCATTCCCCTACCGTCGAGAATGTCTGTGCACTGTCAGTGACTAACATGAGATGTGTCGTAATAAACGAGCTCCAGCTAAAAAGCACAAAGGAACAATGCCAGTAAATTTAGGGGGCATGTACCTCTTCCTCCTCTAGTGACCAGTGTCCCAAGGTACAAAACAGTTTTTGTGACTAAGCCTATTACTGACTCTTTTTCCCATAACTGAGGGATACGTTTAGGAAAGCCATTACTTAAGTAACAGGAAAGACTAAGTTGTTTGTCACATACCAGTTGAAATACCTCAGAGTTGCCACGGTCTTTGCACGCCATGTGCTGCCCTGACGAGTGGGCCGAGGGTGTGTTCAACAGAACCAGAAACATATCGACGAAAACTATTGGAAATGGCAAGAAGAATACAAAAGGAGAACTAACTTGAGAACAAGAAGTTGGAGCTCAGATGTAGTATCTACATCTTAGCATAAAGTATTGAAACGGTGAAATAGCTCTGTTCAAAGGGAACAGAATCCATCTGCCGGTACATCTAACATTACAAGTGTAAAAATATCAATTAACGGTTTCTCCATGGGGCTGTGTGCCAACAGGAGCAATGATTTTCTGGAGTCTGAAGTCACTGAGCTTAATTTTCTTACCTTTGGACACAGCCAGGCTAGCTGTTTCCCTCCGTTTCCAGTCTTTATGCTAAGCTAATTGCCTCCTGTCTCCAACTTCATGTTTAACTGACAAATAAGGGATTTGTACCAATCTTATCTCTAACTCTGAGCAGGAAAACTATTCCTTTTAATAATTCCTTCACTTTACAAACACTGCTTTTGGTAATTTGTTAAGGAAATTCTTAAATGAAGGGGTTTTAACCAGCTGGTCAAAGATTTAAGAATCAGATTAAGGTATTGCCATTCATAGAATATTTTTCCTTTTTAAAGCAATACTTCAGCCTCAAAATGACCATTTGTAAATCAATTACTTACCCCATGTTACCTTGAATTGTTGAAGAAATGACAAATGTAAACGGATGTTTTGATATAGTTTGCTGTTGTAAACCCCCCCCCCCCCCCATTTACTTTAAATCATGAAGACTTTTCTCCGTTTTTTGATTCTTCATTCACAGTGGAGGCATGCGAGACAGTTTCTTGAGTTCTCTTCAAGAATTCGAGATAACACGGGGTGAATAATTGATATTGAAATGGTCATTTTGGGGTGAAGTATTCCTTTAAGTGAGGGTTTCGGCCAAAGCGGAGAGAGTCCGTGGGGCACAGTGACAGGTTTGTTGCGAGAAATAGTTTCTCACTCTACGAAAATAAAAACAAACTGCTGGCTGGGGCCATGTTGAGGATTTCAGACATGTGGTTTCCTGTTTAGAAGGAAAAAAAATGAGAGAGAACCAGAGGGATTGACTGGCTAGTCCGCTAGATGCCTTCCCCATTCGTCGTCCTCCCTTATTTCAGCCCGACTCTGCTCCTCACGTCTTCTTCACTTGCCTCTAAAATGAGTTTCTTATTCTTAAGCAAAATGGGGAAAATGTGAGGATGTTTTAGCTTTGAAGCTATTCCTGTCCCACCGTAGTAGCTGCTAACTGTTAAATGTTAAATGTGTAAAAGTTGTGTGGCAGGCAGTTTAGCAACTAGACAAATATAAATGATTTAAATTTAGAACTCTTCAAACTGTGGACCAATTGGTGTTTTTCTTGTTTAGTATGTTGTGCCTGGTGATGTAGTTTTTATAGGTCTGTTTATGACTGCTGCTTCAAAAACTGGAGTATAAACACAGCACAAGCATAAACTTTCACTGTTGGCCAAAACCGTAGCAGCTCTCAGACACACAAATTACAAGAATACTATAAAGAGACACAATGTGTGGTGGACTGGGTCAGGGCCCAGACGTTAACTTTAGCTTTGTGATGCTTCTTGACATTCCAGTGGGACAGCTCAGGTTCCTCTGCTGCTCTGAGAATATTACTTTACTCTTACATAAGATGCTGATACGGAGACAGTTTGAGATGGATTGCTTTTCTATTTTGGGAGACCGATTGTTTAATAGTAATGCTTATTCTGTAAAAAGCACAAGTGGAAAAAACTGTGTTTTTAAAACATCACACTGAGAAGAGAGAATAATACAATCTCACACTTTTTAAAACCTATTTTGAACTATAACCATTGTGGTTGACAGAATAACCTCGGTACGGTTGCTGTTCTGGAGCTTTTGATCACATTGCATGATCTTGACCAGCAGGTGGAGTTTGCCCAGTGGTCATGAAATTGTTCAAATTTCCTTTTTTTTAATGTAATGTAATAAATGAGGGAGTCTTCATCGTCTCGATCCCTTTGGCTCTTCTTCCCTCAGACATGGATTCCCAGGTGGTGGCGGTCATCTTGGTGAGCCTGGTGCCTCTGCTGGTTATGGCCGTCATCGTCGTCTCTTCCTTCTACTGCTATCGGGTCTACCGCCAGCGGCAAGCCAGCTCCAAGCGCAAGAGGGGTCGCCGGGACTTCAGCGATGGTCACGCCATCATGATTGACGACGAGGGCTCGGACAGCAGCTCCACGCACGCCAACAACCTCAACCACAACACGGAGCTGCTGCCCATCGAGCTGGACGTCCAGGTCGGAAAAGGCCGCTTCGCAGAAGTTTACAAAGCCAAGCTGAAGCAGGGCTCCTCGGTCAGCGAGGAGCAGGGCTTCGAGACGGTGGCCGTGAAGATCTTCCAGTACGAGGAGTACGCCTCCTGGAAGAACGAGAAGGACATTTTCTCGGACGCGGACCTGAGACACGACAACGTGCTTCACTTCCTGACAGCGGAGGACAGAAAGGCGCAGAGGCAGTGCTGGCTGATCACGGCCTACCAGCCGCGAGGGAACCTCCAAGAGTTCTTGATTCACCACATCGTCAGCTGGCACGACCTGTGGCTGCTGGGGGGTTCGCTGGCGCGCGGGGTGGCGCACCTTCACAGTGACCACACCATCTGCGGTCGCTATAAGGTGCCTATCACGCACAGGGACATTAAGAGCTCCAACATACTGGTGAAAAGCGACCTGACCTGCTGCCTGTGTGACTTCGGCCTCGCCCTCCGCCTGGACAACGCTCTGTCTGTGGACGAGCTGGCCAACAGTGGGCAGGTAAAGCATTCTAAGCATTCATTTGTGGGGTGTTATTTGGTTTTACTGTGCTTTTAATCCCCTCAGAGATTTAAAAAAAACTAAATCTTCTCCTGTTCTAATTTGCGCAGCCGGCCGAGACACAGGCCGTTCCAAGCTCTGCCATATCTCGAACAGAGCCGAGCAATCAATCAAACCTTTCATCTCTGGCCCTCATCACACCCTCTCTAAATATTTGGCACCCTCTATATCTTGGCCCCAGATGGATAGCGCTGATAGAAATCATAAGTGTTCTGAGGTGGTCGCTCTATAATAGTCGCAAGAAAAACAAGCTTGATTGATTCTTGATGGACTCATTACACTGATGTAATAGGCCGGAGTCATATTAGTCTCTGTAGTGAAAATGACTCATAATAAAAATGCGCCCCCCCCCATGCTGCGCAGCACACCTAATGCATTGTAAAGCCCACTAATGCATTTCGAGGAAGCACCGTTGAACACAATTTCCAAGGTGGTAATTAATGTGAAGACAAGAGACGCGTTGTTGAGCTCAGAGCTACCTTTTTTGTTTTTCCAATTACTTTCTACATCGAGCATATTTTGATTCAGATAAATATGATGCGATGACATACTACGGCACACAATTAACCCCCCCCCCCCCGCGTCACGTAAATAACTCTTAAGATGCTCTACGTAGCTGGGCTTTTTCAGCTGAACAACTCCTCTGTGGCGTCGTGGACTTCAGTGACATGGGAATCTTTTTTCACCCCCGTCTTTCCTCAGGTGGGCACAGCCAGGTACATGGCCCCAGAGGTCTTGGAGTCCAGAATCAACCTGGAAAACATTGAGTCTTTCAAACAGGCCGATGTTTACTCCATGGCTCTTGTACTGTGGGAGATCATCTCCAGGTGCGACGCAATTGGAGGTAAGATCTCATCAGACACGCAGGATGTAGGATGAAGTGCTGCTGGTATTGTCTCCTCTAAATGTCAAACTATTCCTTTAATTATTTTCAACTCCACTGCACCCTCCTCTGAGATGTTCTTTGTGCATTTATCCTGATCAATTGTGTTTTGTGGACTCCTGCTTTCAGCATGATACAGTAGCATGGTACCCTCACTGTGCACACAGTAAGCATCACATGTGACCTTTAGTTAATAATAGACATAACCAAGTTTCCCTCGGTAAATTAGAGATTAGCCCGGGCCGCTGAGTCTAAAGGAAATCCATAGAAGCACTGATTGATGAAATCCCCTGTGAGGCCTGGAAATATCCTCAGAAATACGAAAAGAAAAATTGCTTGACCTCTAAGGAAAGCGAGCACGTCGCCAGCTCTACCAATCACGGAGCTCGGTGACCAAATCCAAGTCCACCTACCAGATGTGTGACACTGCGCGCCAGGACTTGGGCGTGTGTCTCCCGCGACCCATTTATCACTGTGGGAACAAAATCCAAAAGTGTCAAACGCACAATCCATCTTGTCGAAGTCTCAAGGATCAGCCTTCACTTTACTAATGTACCGTTACTTGTGTTTGTCACTCTGTAGCGAAAACAAGGCCAGGATATGTGCAAATAATAGAAATGGGCGATTATCTGAAGGCAAAAACTGCAGAGCAGTATTTCATGTCGACACTCGAGTCGTTTGTTTTCACTTCCCTTTGGTGTCTCTGTGGTCCAGTTTGTTTCTGTGTCTGCTCCCGTCTCCATTGTGTCACAGCGGTGATTGAAAGCCGGGTTCGGGCATGAGCGCTTCTACTTTGGCGATTTCCTGTTTTGCCCCCACGACCACCCCCCGTGGGGGGCCCCTCCTTAAATTGTATCGCACAGTTACGCTGCCCAAGAGTGCTCTGAAGAGAAAACATGGCAGAGGGACCCACAGTCCCCCTCTGCTTTGCTTTCCCAAGCAGCAGGAACATGTGTGCCCTTTGGGTACACCTATTTGAAAAGAAAATAGACTATTTCCTGTTTTGCAAAGAACACGGCCCCCGCGGCACACTGTTCTTAGGCTGAAGTTGTAAGTATGGATGTCTCCTTTCTATGAGGATGTTTTGCGGCTAGTGTCTCTCGAGAGCGGACCAGACAGGATACATGGGGGCAGAGATGGACTAAACCAATCCAGGCGGAGTTGGTGTGGCTTCTCGTGGTTTCCTCCTGAGGGATTTGAGGGACAACAGCTTTATTCATCCGACTCATCCTCCTCCATTTGTTTATTTCATTCCCTTACTATATATTTATTGAGATCTAGACAAACAGAAACACTGTACACGGCAGCAAACATTATTTAAGACCCAGTTTAAATGTTCTTCCGAGTGTCCCTGCCCATAAAACTTCAGCTCGGTGTCTCGACATTGTTCCATCTCTTTCTTCCTACCCCTGGGCAGGTGAGGCAGCCGTTAATCACCCTCCCACTGCACCGAGACGCTGCAGACAGCCATCCAGCGTTACTCATGCCGGCAAAGACAGACTGGGAGGACAGGCGAGCGTAGATTTACTGGAGGGTGGTGGAAGCGGAGGGGTACCCGTCCCACCACTCTACCAGAACAGTGACAAAAGATGGAAGCAGCTGGAATAGCTCATGTATATCTCTATCCACTATCCGCCCACTCCCTGAGACAGAGGGGGAAATCTGTAGTTCATTAAGCCCAAAACCAGGCTTGGGGAGTAACGGATTAATGGGACTGCGTAAGTCTCTCACGCGCACCTGTATAAACGAGTCAATCTAGCAACACCGTAAATTACATATGACATAACACATAATCATATTTTTTGACATTCGTTACAGCCCTAAAAATTTGCATATAGGTTAATTTGATTTGCTTGAGTGGGTTCAGCTGCTGCTCCACATTATAATCCGGTAACACTAATTTGCCAAATGATTTGAGTCCTTGGATGCTATTGAGGTGATCCAAAAAGTAACGGAAAGTAATCCGATTATATTACTTTTATACTGTGATACTTGGATTAGTTTACTGGTTACTTATTTAACAGGTGATTGTATCGGTTAACATTTTAAAAGTTACCCTCTGAAACCTTGGCAAAAGCCCAAGGAGATGTTCTCACGTGGAAAGGTTCAAACGTTGCACAAACACAGCCGGCCTGCTGACTTCATAGAGGAAGGTGGAAAGAAGAAGCTGCGTAAATGAGATGCAGTAATTTGGTTTTGCTTCACTGGCAGCTAAAAAATAAAAAAAGAGTCTCCTCGTGGGTCGTCTGCTGGCAGAGATGTGGTATTGATTCTGCACTCGGAGCACCATGACAGTAAAGCTGCTGTGAGTTTCCCGCTGCTGGCCTCTTGTATTTTTCCCGAAGTTGCCAAGTTGTCCCCGGAGGTCGGTGAGTCACTAATGACACCCTGAGAACTCCTCGGCGTCCTTTGAGACAAAATATGAACACCAGGGCACACAGGCAGAGATTCAGAGTGACACATCCCCGGGCATCATCATACCGGCTGGGGATGAAGCCCCGGCTCCCTCTGGTCTCCGCTGCCACCTGCCCCGTGTGTGTCTGTGGAAGACAGATGTCTGATCAGCGCTCTGCGTCTCAGTGGCAGGCAGCCACGTAGCCACTCTGTCACAGTTCCCGGGGCCGCGGTCTGATCCGAGATCTGCCAGGCGAGAAGAACACAGCCGTCTGTCGACAGCGCCAGTCAGCCAGCCATGAGCCATGAGCCATCACTCTGCTTTCTTTATCTTCCAAGACTACGGAGACAGAGCGAGAGAGAGAAACGGAGATCAACACACCTCGCAGAGAAGGGAAAAAGCTGGATTCAAGGCTCAGGCCTTTTCTTTTTTTTTTATCTCTGCCTCTGTTCCCTAAAATGTCTCCTATGTAATTTAGCTGGTCCAGATTTAGGGCTTGGAAAGACTATGTTCCTCGGACGGGTGGAGCCACGTAGGGGAATAATAGTGTAGTGGTGTTGAATGTGGAGCTGCAGACGGAGAAATGCCTTCGGTCCCTAGAGGGAGAGGTTGGGCTAGACCGGAGAGGAGGAGAGGTTAAGGCAGCTGCTCTCCAGATGTCAGAACATCAACTCCTCCAGGACCGGAGGGCCTGATGGTCGTGTGTGTGTGTGTGTGTGTGTGTGTGTGTGTGTGTGTGTGTGTGTGTGTATACGTGTGTGTGTGT